CAACTTAAAGAAGTCCAGACGCTTTTCTTTGCAAGCTCCTTTGACTACGATGACCTGGATGACTGAGAACCTTCACAGACATATTCTTTCTTTTTACTCTGAGCAACACTTTTCATAAATTTCAATGTAGAACGCTCAGGATTTTCCTTCACAGACACATTTTTGGTGCTCACGAAACCCCAAACACTGTGTTTAATCAAACATACAGCAGCTGAAGAAGAAACCTTCCTGCCGGTTTTAGCAGTGGTATATTGCAGAGTTGCTAACACTGGCTCACTTGCCTTTGCTTTGCACAGTGGAGTATTTTGTTTCCTTTTGGGTCGCAGATCTACAGCTGCTGTTGTCACCTCCTCACATGCTTTAAACCCTGGTTGTACTAAACGATGCATTTTGGTTCAAATTCTAAGACCAGTTTCCACCTATTGCATTGCTATTTCATTCATATCGTAATATGACTTTCCTTTTTCTTTTTTGTTTTTTAAATCACATAAAAATGTATACCAGTATCATCTTGGACAGTAGGATTGTGACACGACCTGGAATGTGCCACAGACATTGGTGGCTTCAGTAATCTGTGAATGTCGCCTTTTTGGTAATGTTCTTCATGGCTTCATTCAGATTGAGCAATGGCAGGAATGGATAGACCTGTGTTACACACGAGTAAGATGGATAGTCGTGTGTTTATTTCATAAAAATGGCGATGATTGTGATTTAAATAATTACAGGCAGCAATCTATAAGGAATGTGGATTATAAAATATTAGCTAAAATTCTAATGAATGGAGTTAATGATGTGAGTATCATCATTGATAAACATAGACTTGTAGTCTTCAGATGGGAGATAACTTTAAGAGAAATTGTATATACTGGCAATGACACAGGCTTCTTTATATAGGTTTGCATCAAAAGAAATCGTTTATGTTTCACATTCCTACTTGTAGACAGTGATAAAGACATATGTGAATTTTCATAAAAGTCCATTGTGTAAGTAAAAGTAAATGGCTTTTTGAGTGAACCTTTTAATGTTGGGTGAAACAGGGATGTCCTTTAGGTGCTTTCCTGTATGTCTTTGCTATTAGTCTTCTGCTGAAAAAATGAATGAAGGTTCCCGTTTTAAGAGATATAATCTCTGTGATTCATCTAGAGTGAGAGCCATGGCTAATGTTGACCTAATCACTAGCGATCTCCAATCTTTAATATCTTTCTTATAAACGTATATCTTGGAAACGGGATGGGCAACATTTATGCATCAACACAATTAACTAACTCATGCCACTTATGGCTATTTGTCGTACTTTCCTGATTTGAAGTTTGAAACATTTTATAAATGAAGCAGTTATCAGCTGAGCATTGCTGACCTATTTACACTCTTTAGAAACTAATTGTGATTGCTATAGAGTGCAAGCCATTTTAGTGGATTCATTTCCACCCGTTGTTGGAGTTTGCCCCAATTGCATTTTATGTTCCACCTTCTTGTTATGCTGCTTCTTCTCGTCCGCAATGTCAGCTGACAGAATGATCACGGACATAAATCAAAGATACCAACTGCGCTTTTATTTACATTTTACAAGTGAGATGATCACTTAGAGAGAAAGCTAGAAGCAACATGATGTCTCTATGATGTTTCTACTTGCTGCAGCTTACTGAATGTTACAGAAGGAAAAAGAAGTGTCCCTCACACTCTGAGCAGAACTCCTGAGATCAAGAAGCAGTACTGGTCCTAGATTTTTCACTAAGTAATTTATTTATAAGCACAGAAGTAGCCTGTTCATTTCAGGCATGAGTTAGGCAATCTACTAAAAGGAGGACAAATTAATATGTCCAAAACAGGCAGACCCAATTAGACGGCAATCCACATCTTAATAAAGTTACTGTTACTTTGTCCCGTGCATAAAATCACAGCAAAAGTAACTACTCACGCTTTTTATTTGCAAAATTGTTACTGTGGTTTGTTTGTTTCGATGTGACTTAATATAAATACAATGTAACAACAGAAGAGGATTTTATGCTGCAGACTGGGATTGTAACATCTAGTCCTTTATTGGATCTAAAAGTGCCTTTTGTGTTGGGTCTGAACACACAATAAGAAAGGAAGAAATTTTATCAATAACACTACCCATTCTGGGTGAGAAGCTGAATGTTAAGATGTTGCCAAGCATGTACAAAGCTGTCATCAATACAGCAAAGCTTTAAAGCGCTTAAGCGTAGAAGCTCTTTGGTTTGTTTACACTTTTGTCTTTTGTACACAATTCCTTACATCTAGAAAAGATTCTAAGATTAGAGTTTGCTGTTGGAGTTGTAAAAAAAAACAAAACAACAACAACAAAAAACTGACAAGGGTCATGCTGCTCACAACAATTCAAAAAATGCCAACTACACAAATCACCCTGACTGAAGCCTTGGCCTTACTTGGTTCTTAAGGTTGCTTGTTTTCTTTTTGTCATACACGAAGCAAGATATTGTAGTTTACACTTAATCTAGTCCTCAGATGCATTCCTAGTCACATTTCTTTTGGATTTGTTTCTTGCGATATTGTTAGAGTGGCTATCACAGCTTCAGAAAGCTTCAGAAAAACTGTTGAATAAACAGAGACTGGCCATCTGGAGTAGCAGGAGTTTTCCTGCTGAGTTGGTAAACCTGCCATTTGATATAAGCCAAGCTGGCCAGAACTGACACTAAGAAATTGAGTACAAAATGGGGCCAGGCCCCCGACTGACATGGATATGTTGGGTACTCCCAGTTTTTATGAAAAGTTTCGAAGTTAACTTGCATTTACTTTTCCAATAGTAAAATTTTAGCTCATATTGCCTTTTGAAGCCTAGCTCTTAGTGACTCTGTTCTGCTGAATGAAAAACTGACACAGATATAAACCAAAGCCATGACCGATGTTGGTGCTTCATTTTGCTATTTTCAAATGTACTCACAGTCTGCAAAAGCATCCCATTAATAAGTTAAAGACTGAAAGGTGTGAAAAGAGACATGCTCACTCCAGTCGTTGCACCGGAGAGCAACTTGGGCTTTGTATCTTGCCCAAGGATCTTTGGCATGCAGTCTCGTACAGCCAGGGATCTAGCGATTGTGGTTAATGGCTGGAAGTTGGGAAATCTCTAAAACATTCTAGCCCTACTGTTTGTTTTTCTGTGTTTCTGGTGGCTTGGCACCATGTTTTTGTTATTGATCAAGGTTGGTAAGGTAGGCTGCCACTGTTTATGTCTAGTTGCTAATAGAATGATTTTTATTTCAGCTTAAATCTGGGACTTTAAGATGAAAAGAGAAACATACTACTTTTCAGACACAAGTTATTGTGTTATCCTGGTAAATTAATACTTTCTGTTAATTTTACAGACAGGCAGGATTGAAAGTGCCTGCTTCCTGGCTCTTACAATAATGCCCATCATAACTTCATCTTACTGGATAAAACAGATTAACTTTTAGGACATAATTTATTTTATTATTATTTTTTAGAAAAGGTGATAAATCTCAGTATATGTTATTGCAATACTCATACAATAATCATATTGTATGTTTAAAAATTATGAGTGAAGTATTGTGAAAGCGTCTTATGAGCTAGATAATCAGCCAGCCATCCTTTTGTACCCTGGTGCCTTCTGCTTGTTTTGTTCTGAGATGAGAGTGACGCACTGGGTTTGTGATGCATTAGTCAGGGCTGACGCTGCCTTTTGGTCACATTTGAATCATTGACAGAGGGAGCGGGTCATCAGGTCAAAGTTAGGATTTAGAGGGCGCACAAATTCAGAGTATTGTTGAAATATGAAGCACTATTGTTAAACATCCAGTTTAATTTTGGTTGTTCACCATTCACTGTAGTAATGTTGGCGTGTGAGCATTGTAAGAAGAGATCTGCTAGGATCAAATTTAATACCATCAATATATTCTCATATGTGTGTATCAGAATACACTAATTATGTATGCTATCCATGTAGGGTTTTGTCTCAGTTAATGTGCATTTATTGTAGTTTTCTGTCTTTAGTGCATGGTGGTTTTATGAGAATAAAAAGTGTATTTTAAGTTTACCTTGAAAATTTAAAAGCTTGAAAAGGTTTGAAAATTAACCATAGCTAATAACAATGTGCAGCATGGTGTCATTTTCTTTACTGTAATTGTTAACCTGCTTTAAAAAGCTGTTTAGCACATTTTACTGGTTGAATATTGGAGCATGGAGAAAGGAAAATCTAACTAATAGCATTCATTAACATTTTAAGGTAAGGCTTTAAGCTGCCCGGTGTGTGTGGCCTTCGAGTGATAAGACAAGGATAACTGTAAGCTGAACATGTGAGATATCCTTGAGCTTTCAGGAAGGGATATGCTGGATGTAAAACTCAAGACAAACAGAGAGCATCTTTGCAACACTAAATGTGGCTTAATAATCACTTTTCTCAAAAACCAGTCACTGGAAGGCATCGTTGCAATTGAAAAAATAGTTTTCAAATAATTACTGAGCTCTGGGTAAAAAGACGCCCCATTTCTGTACAAATTTGTATAATGTGTGTTGTATGTAATGGAACGAAAAGGTCATCGCTTTTCCTTGAACAAAAAAAAGTAACTGGGGTCACAAAAAGCACCAAGAGTGCTAACAACTCTGTTTCACGAATGTTTTCACTGTTCTTTTTATTGGAGTTTGTTTGAAAGGCTGAGCGCAATCAGTTGAATTTTATGTGTGCTTTTCTTGCCTTCTCTTTCCTCTTTTATGCCGTCTTTTGCTGCAGAGACCTTCCTCAATATGGACACAAGCAATGGCAGTCCTACTTTGGGCGGACCTTTGACGTCTACACTAAGCTATGGAAATTCCAGCAACAACACAGGTTATTTTTTTCTTGTACCGTTGAATGTTCTTTTTTCTTTCTAAGGGTTGGTTTTATCACCGTCTCAATGTTAAGTTTGACATCTTTGTATACTTACTGACAGGCAGGTTCTGGACAGTCGGTATGGACTGAAGAGATGGCAGATTGGTGAAGTTGCATCCAAAATTGGACAGCTTTATTACCACTACTAGTAAGTGACAGGGCCTCCTGAGTCATGTATCAATGTTTTGCAGCATTATGAATTTGACTAAGGATAGGGTAGTCATCAGGTAGGATACATGTGTTGTCGCCTTTTGAATGAAGTGGACTGCTTATTGGGGTCCCAACATAGGGTCCCGAAAATTCCATGTCTGTTTAGTATCAGCATACCTTCCCTAACTCAGATGGTGGAAGACGACAGTATATTTTACCGTTTTCATGAAGACTTGCCACTGCTTTTATTTCAGCATCACGTACATTCTTTGAGAAAACGACAGTACACTAAAATCTCAAACACTAACATAGAATTATTGTTCTTGGCTGGCTTAGCGATAGCATGCTGTCTGTGCAGGCGCTTACAAAGAGCTGAAGTTGTGTTAGCAGCACAATGCAGATGTTACTGTATTGGATGCAGTCTCCACTTTACCATCGCGCAATTTTCTTTTTGTGCAATAAAAACAAAAAATTATGTCCTTATACACGCTGCAGCCTGCACCACTATTTTACTCCTCCTGCACACAAACTGAAATCTTTCCCATCCCTACTGCACCTAGAAGGTTTTTTTCCAGTAACTGTTAAGGAAAAAAAAAAGACCTGGCAAAGTGTTGGGCATGATGAAATTAGCCACTTCTGCATAAGCAGGAAACGTCCAAACACTGTTTTTACAGCCCACAAAACTCCTTAAATGCACTCCTTAAAAAAATAATAATGATAATTTAATTCAGTGGCAACTACATCTGAAAAAGCTAGTCTGTCACCACAATGGAAGTGCCCATATTTATCTTCTTGTTACTACTTTGAGTATTCTAGTCATTATAACTTTAAATATTGCATTACTTAACTGCAAGCAAGCAATGTTTATTTATGTAGAGCTGTTCAAACACAGAACTCAGGAAGTGCTTTAGAGAATGTAATCCAAATTAAAAATTAGGGGAAAAACAGAAATCAGTGCTTTGTGGAAATTCCAACTAGAAAAGGTTTAGAGCAAAGAATCTTTAGACAGCTCTACTGTAAGACGATAGAAAAGAGATCACATTAGTCCAGTTTTCACATCTTTATGTTTTTTTGTTTGTTTGTTTGTTTTATCATTGAAGTAAAACAGTGAATACATGTTAGATCTGGTATGTTATGAAACTTTGAGAGCTCTCAGGTAGCCGCAAACAGCTCAGCTCATTGTCCCTGGTGTCAAAACTAAACACAGAAAAGCAAATGAATGCTGCTGCATTCGTTCAATTTATCAATCACCACTTGCAGATTTGTTTAAAAAGATGCAAATTTGAAATATGTATTCCTCTTTGTTGACAGCCTTCGTACCTCAGAAACAAGTTACCTGAATGAGGCCTTTTCGTTCTACTCAGCCATTCGTCAGCGCTCCTACTACTTTCAGGTCAACAAAGAGGACAGGTAAGCTCCAGATATTTTTTGTTAAAGTAGTGTAAGTTGCAGTTTTTGTAAGATGTCTTTAAACGTTATGTATAACAAGCCTGTTTAAATTTACCTTATTAAGAAATGAGATCATACTACGAAAAAACTCCCAATGAAGTTAGTATGATTGCTGATTCAGAGGGGTGTACTACTTTGTCAACTATGTGTGAAAGTGGCTTTCTTATTACCTGGCTGGGTCACCATGGTGACTTATGCTCCAGGCATAACCTGCTAGGAGTAGGTTATGTTTCAGTTTAGTCGTCTGGAATCTCCACATTTCACTGTTTTTTTTTATTTGCACCATGTTTTAAGTGCAATTTAGGTTCCCTGCTGGGCAAACATGTCTCAAATGTGCAAGTTGTTGCCCAGCTGTAAATATATAAATGTTATAATTTATTATAATCTGCTGCCAAGTCTCTTTTACACAGTTGGAACTGCAGCTACTAGTAACCTAGAATGTTTAAAATGATCCAGTTTAAGCTTTCAGAGCTCTAACGTGCAGCTATCACATTTGATATAAACAGCAGCACCAAGATTTCCCTCAGCGTTGAAATAATTAACTGGAATTAAAATGTCTAATTTTTTGCTCGTTATGCTAAATCCCAAGATTAATGAATTTCTGCAGCATTAAGCTCTTGTGCTATTTGCTCTTGTACTGTTACATTTTTAAGTGTATAACATTCTTTATAGATTTTTATCTCCATTTAATCATTATTTGATAATGTGTCTGAGCGGACTTGGGGATCATTTAAGTGTGTAAGAGTCATATTATGTGTGAAACTCGCCTTTTTATGTGAGTGTGCACGATCTGATGTCTTTTTTTTTTTTCAAAAATGAGCAAAATTTCTCTTTTCATGCTCCCCAGAGTATAGATATTTACATCAAATATTTGTTGAAAAGACAAAAATGTTTATTGGAGTCTTAAGAAACACAGGGTGAACCATTTGGTGGCTCCAGTCAATTTAATAAACACTGCTTCAACTGTGATAGTGCTTTATGTTGATTTGTTTGTGTTTGCCCGCTCATATTGTCTTTTCTTGTCTTTCATCAGGCCTGAATTAGTAGTGAAGAAGCTTCGTTATTATGCTCGCTACATAGTCGTCTGTTTACTTTTAAACAAGATGGACCTTGTCAAAGTTTTGGTGAAGGTATGGAAGCCATATTGTTAGTACTTTATATTACAGCTTGGTATGCAGGGTTTCAGTCATTAGGTAACAGTTTTAATAATGAGGTACATTCACATGACTATAATTACAAAGTGATAACTTTGTATTAATGTGTATATCGACTACTAATACTAGAATGAAAGGCATGTTATAGAGTAAAAAAAGGGGCCAAAAACAGCTAAATAAAGGAAGAAACAGTCAAAGTGTACCTATAAGGGAAAACCACTTTGTAATAGTCGAAACTATAATTTGCCAAGTGTAGTACCTGTCTACAGTCCACTCGATACCTTCAAAGTTGAAGATGCTGTATTATAATGCTTAAAAAAAATCCCCCTTAATATTAAGCTGAATTGGGTGAGGAGGAAAAGGTAAGTGTCTTGGTTTTGGACTAATAGCTTAGTAGTTAGTAATGAGGCCACTCACATCAAGAGGGTTGTACATGGTCTTCAAAATGTTTAGGTAGGTTGTGCAAGTCGGAGTAGTATCTACATGAATACCATAAGCCAAGTTTTCTTATGTTAAGCCTTATCTTTCTCAATTAAACAAGTCAAAACACAGCAATCGATGTAAATCCATTCACCTGTCAGTGGTTTTATTGTTTTTGCTGAGAAGTGTATTTTCTTAATTTGTAATAGAAAGTATGTTATCATTATTGGGTATGTTGCTCGTGTTGTCAAAGATCAACACTTTGTACATGTTGAGGTACCATTAACAGGTTTTGCAAATCTCTCTTTTAGGTTCTCTCTTTCTTTTTTTTTAAACGTTAGAATATTTTCTAGATCTAAGGAGCTGCAGATATTGTATTGAACTGTGCTAATATTTTGGGTTTTTTCTCCCTGTAAATGTGAATGAGGTAGTCTACTTCATGAATTTTGTTCACGATTTACTTTTATGATTGTGTAAAAATTCAAAACTGTTCGTTTTTTTTTTCATGACACCTCTTATTGCTCTTCCTGCCTATCTGCCATCTGCAGGAGTTATCTGAGGAAATTGAAGACTACACACAGCGTTTCAACACAGAGGACCAGTTGGAGTGGAACCTGGTTCTGCAGGAAGTGGCAGCTTTTATAGAGGTAAATAACCATCCAAGCCTAATACTGTTTGATGTTATTTCATTATGTTAGTAATTTATTCATTATATTATAATTGTCATGTTTGCGCACATACAGGTAAACAGAGAAGTCTCTGTTCTTCCTCTTGTCTGCTGGGTGATATACTGGATCCGCACTATTTCTTCAACTGCTCTTCTTCAATTGTTTGTCTGTAACAGGCAGATCCTGTGGTAGTTCTGAACGACAACAATTCTGTCGTCACCATCAGCAATCGGCTGCAGGAGGGAAGTGTGCCTCCACTGGAACAAGGCATGGTGGTTGGGCAGCTCATCCTTGCTGACGCACTAATCATCGGCAACAGTAACAACCAGGTTCTAACCCACTAAATCTGATTCATGGTTTCTCAAACTTAACACACATCAGCATGAGCAGCATGGTGGTGCAATGATCGGCACTGTTGCCTCACAGCAAGAAGGCTTGAAACCTGGCTGGGGTCTTTCGATGTAGAAGTTGCATGTTCCTCAATGTACCTTTGTGGTTTCCTTTGGATACTGCATGCATGTTCTAGTTAAATGTTATTTGTAATCTAAAGTGCCTTAACTGGGTACTAAGACTAGAAAAGCAATATATTTCTATTTCCACAATTGCTGCAACTCTTTTCAGAGAAAACTTGAGACATTGACTCTCAAGTAATATGGATGGATGGATTATTTTATTATTTCATATACGTCCTCTCTCTGGGCCTCTGATCTGATCTTTTTCTGCTTTCTGTGCAGTTTACACTAACATTCAGTTTCTGAAGTGCTGATAGTATTTGCACTGCTCACTCCTGGCTGTTATGACCCAAAAAACTAAAATATTTGTCAAACTTTGTAGGAGAAGATTACAATATAACCAGTAGTTGTTTTTGTTTCATTTTCATTATAACTGCAGCACTGATTTATCTTTGAGGGCTCTCATTTTTCTGTGTATGGCAAACAATTGTGTTTGTGTGTGACTTTGAATAATTTTTCAAACCACAATGAAGGCTGAAACAGTAACTTGATATATTAATATTGTTTTGTCATTTATTTTAGGTGAAGTTCAGTGAGTTAACCATAGATATGTTCCGCATGCTTCAAGCTTTGGAGAGGGAACCAGTAAACCTGGCCACACAGACCTCCAAGCAAGGAACGATGGTGAGTGTCAGGCACATCGTGTAGTGGTAATAATGGGCAAGCCCCCCTCCTTCCTGCTTTACCACTTGTCCATGTTGGCCCAAACAGTATGGAAGCCTTCCACAGATGCATTGTCATCTGGAATATCCTGGTTAATCCATGACTCAGTGAAGCACATCAGGCTTCACTGACTCCAGGCGAGTGCTGTTGGCTCATGCAGCTTGTTTGCTAGCGACCTAACATTCCCCATTATACTACATGGGAGACTCAGCTTAAAGCTCTTCATTGCTTGAAGCCTCCACTGTATTACGGTCTCCCTCGTGCTCTTCTGTCCCCCACCTCTGCATCCATTTCAGCCACAGAGCGTGTGGTGTGTAACTGCCATGCCGCAATCCCATTCCTCAATGAAAGTAATAGTTCTGCGGCAACAAGGAGAAGGAAAAACTTTCTCAACCCACATGTTTGAGAGAAAACTATTGAAAACAAACTAACATGCTACAATAATAAGTAAAAGACAAAGAAAGTAAGGAAAAAGTTTAAAGTATGGATTAAAAAAAACAGGAGCAACTGAAACAGGCTGCATGCTGGTTGACGCATGTCCATCGCGTGAGTCTCTGATAGGATTTATCCACAGCACAAACTGTTCCTCTGTATAAACTGTATAGATTTGCACAAGAACACATTTACTGTCCAATCCCAATCTGCTTGTCTGTTAATGAAGATACTATTACTGTACCACATGTATAAATGCACAAATGGCTTATACATTTATAATGTATAGGGATCATAAAACCACATAATACACCTGTACACACAGCAGTGTGCCTCAGCCCCTGGCCTAGAAGCCTTTTGATTTCACTTGCATTTACATAAGGTTTTACAATCTTTTGTTTACACATGCAATGTTTTGTGTGATGTTTCTCCACAGGAACCCAACGAAAAGCCAGCGAAGAGAGAAAACCCTCACAAGTATTTGCTGTATAAGCCAACCTTCAGCCAGCTTTTTACTTTCTTGTCTGCCTCTTTTAAGGTCAGTATGATCGCAGGTTTCCTCAATAAATATTCAATAAGTTGAGATTTTTATCTCCAAGATGTATTTTTTATATATATATATATATATATACACTAACAAATCCATGGAGTGTGAGGAATCATCTGTAGACCTCTGAGTTAGGATGGTATCGGGGTACAGAACTGAGAAAGTGTGCAGAAAAATATCTGCAGCATTGAACGTCCCAATGAGCAAAGTGGCCTCTATCACTCACAAATAGAGAAAGTTTGGAACCACCTGAACTCTTCCTAATTGTGGCTTCCTGGCATTCGGGGTAGAATAACCTTAGTTGAGGAGGTGACCAAGAACCCTATACTCACTCTGACAGAGCTCCAACATTGCTCTGTGGAGAGAGAATAACCTTGCAGAAGCACAATCATTTCTGCAGCACTCAACTATTAAGGCCTGTGTGGTAACGTGGCTAGATGGAAGCCTTTCCTCAGAAAAGGCACATGACAACCCACCTGGAGTCCTTCAGGTGCCTTTTAGGCCATGAGATACAATATTTTCTGTTCTGATGAAGCAAAGATTGAACTCTTTGGCCTGAGTATCATGTCTGGAGGAAACCAGGTACTGTTCAGCACTTGGTCATTACCATACCTGTAGAGAATCATGGTTGTGGCAGCATCATGGTACGGGGATGTTTTTGGCACCAGCAACTGGGAGACTAGTCTGACTTGAAGGCAAGATGATTGTAGCAATGTACATAGATATCTTGGATGCTAATGTGCTCTAGAGCACTCTGGACCCTGGTCTGGGGTGAAGGCTCATCTTCCAACAGGACAGCGACCCTACGCACACAGTCACGATAACAAAGGAGTCACGGCCCAGCCAGAGCCTAGACCTGAACCCGATTGAACGTCTCTGAAAAGATCTGAAAATGTCTTTGCCCCAACCCTTCCTGTCCAACCTGAGCTCGAAAGGTTCTACAAAGAAGAATGGGAGAAACTGTCTAAAAAATGGGTGTGCCAAGCTTGTATTATCATACTCAGAAAGACGTGGTTGTGAATTGGCGCTATATAATTTCAACTGAATTGAATGGATTCAGAGTTTTTCGGTTATCATGCGCTGTAAATTATTTAAGATTAGTAGTTGTAGTAAAATGAAATACTTGAATTTGTGACTTAATTTTTTATCTTACCACTTTTATTTCCAGGAGCTACCTGCTAACAGTGTTCTGCTCATCTACCTGTCAGCTACTGGAGTCTTCCCTACTGGGCATTCAGATTATGAGGGTATGTTTTTCTTTTTCTTTTTTTGTTGTTGTTTTGTTTTGTTTTTTTGTCTGTAATTTCATGGAATTTCTGAATACGATAATAGACCGATTTGGAGTGGAGATCAGTAATGTCATTACAGCTGTTAGCACATGTTTGTGGTAGGAAGTAAAAGTGAAAATGCGTGAAAGAAATCTGATGAAATGTCTTGAAAAAGTCAAAAATGTCTGGTTCGTGAGACAGGCTTCCAGGTTTTATCTGATGTAAAGTTTTTAAAAAACATTCAAGCAAAGTCATGGATGTAACTAATAACAATAAATTAGAGACAACAGCAAATGCAACACTGCCATTTCAAGAGTTTTTTGTTATAGTAGACATGTTTGCAGCAATCGTGTCCTGCCTTCCATTTTCTTCTGCTTATCGGGAGCTGGGTCGCAGGGGCAGCAGTGTGAGCAGAGAAGCCCAGATTCTTTTCTCCCCAGCCACCACCTGCAATTTATTCGGGGTTTCCTAGACCCGCCGAGATGTATAATCTCTCCAGTGTGTCCTACTGGTTCTACCCCAGGGCATTCTCCGAGTAGGGCATACGCAGAACACTTTAACCATAAGGCATCCAGGAGGCGTCCTTGTCAGATAGCTGAGCAACTTCAACTGGCTCCTTTCGGGGAGTAGCAGCTCTAATCTGAGTCTCTCTCAGATGGCTGAACTCCTCACCTATGGAGACTCCAGCCACCTTTTGGAGAAAGCTAATTTCCCCTGATTCTACTCCCAATCTCGTTCTTTTGCTTGTGTCCATGGTTCAGCTTTGGCTTCATTAACTGGTAAATCCGCAGCTTCTCGTTCATGTCCACCTCTCTCTTCATCATGTACCGGTATAATGTCTGCATCACTGCAGCTGCGGCTCCAATCTGTCTGTCGATCTCCTGCTCCCCTCTTTCCTCAATTGTGAACACATCGTGCACAAAAAGCATAGCTGAAATTCTGAGGTCACCAAGCTGGAAGCCTTTCACCACTTGGCCACACCTCGATATTCTGCCCATAAAAAGTCTGAACAGAATTGTGACAAAGGGCAGCCCTGAGAGAGTCCAGCACCCAATAGAAACAAGTCAAACTTATAGGGACTGGATTCCTCATAACAATGGGCTGAACACCCTGACTCACACAGCACCCCCTATAGGGTACCATAGGGTTATAGTCAAATGCCTTCTCCAAGTCCAAAAAACACATGGAGACTGGCTGTGCAAACTCCCACAGACACTCGAATATCCTCGAGAGGATAACGTCCTGGTTCAGTGTTCCCAGACACAGAACAAAACTCGCATTGTTCCTCCTGAATCTTGGGTTCAATTAACGGACAAACTCTCCTTTCCTTTGGCATAGACCTTCCCAGGAAGGCTGAGGAGTACGATGCCCCTATAGTTCCCTCCTGAGTCGCCTCACGGTTTGTCCATCCAAAAATCTTTTTCCATGGCTTCACCGCTCCCACACCACAGTTTGTTCTGCTTGGCCTGCTGACATCAACTGCCTCCAGTGTGTTACAGGCTAATCAAGCCCAACAGGACTCCTTTTTCAGCTTGATGGCTCCCTTCATGGATTACCACCACACCAGGCACCAATCACTTTGCCGTCACATCCTCATGTGGCAGCCGCAACAAAGGGGATCTAGAATATGGATGGGAATTGATAAGAATTTAGCTGATTCCGTTTTCAACTTCATTTAACTATTCGGTTCCTTATCAATTCTCATTGAGTCCCCATTGGCTCAGTTTTGAGAGTCACCTCCTTTGCTCAGCAGTATATCAAAGACATATAGGTATTTCCCCTCTGTTATGATCGGGGTTGGGAGTCATTATTTAAAGTTTATTACAATTAAAAGTAAAATTGTGCATTACTTAATTACTCGCAGGAGAAAGTAATTTGTTACACTACTCGTTACATTACTTTTGCATTTCACTTTAAAATGACCTGAAATGTCATTTAACAATATACAACTGAAATCAGCTGTTTACAGCAAGTGCAAATGAAACCGTTAAGCAGGATCAATAGGCAAGCACACTAACAATTAAAAGAAATTGAACTACTGGGAACCGGTTCTCAAGTCTCATCCCTAATGCAGAACAAGGTCTGTTCAGACTCAGTATACTTAGCCTCTCTTGGAATGCTGTTGAATTTGTACCTCAGGTGGTTGAAGATGTTGTGGACAGTGGCTTCTACCAAGCATTACCAATGCATATTTATGACCGATACAGTCTTTTCAAGTTACACCAAAGAAGCGTCTAACCCTTTCCCACAGGACCATATGATTTTGGAGGAGTTCTCACGAATACAAATCGAGATGTGGTGAATGGAGAGACGGTGCAGAAGAGGAATCAGGCCCAGAAGGAAATGCATTGGTGAGAATTTCCTAGCAATACTTCTAACTTTGCTTTGTTTATTCAGTTGACAGCATCTAAACCAAAATCAGAGGAAGTGATTTTACCTATTACTTTTACTAATAAGTAAATGACTTTCAGGCTTTCGTGCTGAAAGCCTGACTCTAAATATGTTTACATAAGTCATAATGTGTCATAATAAGAATCTATCTATGTTACTTGAAAAGTGCAGAACCTCACTGAGGGTTTGCTGAGTTACATTTGCTTGGCATATTGCAGCCTTCATCCAGGAGACTTATTCCCTTTCACCCGGAAGCCTCTTTTTGTCATTGTGGATTCTTCAAACAGCACGGCCTACAAGGTATGTAGGTGAAGACCTTCCATTTCAGAGACGTTTAAATGGTGAGGAATTGTTGATGGGCAAATGGAGGGAAAAATGTGATGAGGGAATCTGTTCTCACCTCACACAACTTAAGCCCAATCAGCATAAAAAGAAATTCGCTCACTACGCATCACCTTGTAGTTGGCAGCTGAACACTAGTGGACATATGGTTGCATGGGAGATACTCTAATTCAGGGGATGTGCAAGTTATGATGACAGGGCTAGAGCAGGGCGATATGGCCAAAAATATTTATCACGATATATATTTGAAAATTTGCGATAA